GGACTAAAATGTATAATAGGTAATGTGAAATAGGAAGAAAAGGGGCAAAGGGGAAGGGGAAGTGGGAGGGGTAGGGGAAAGAAAAGAAGGGAATAAAATCAATAAGAGAATATGAAAAAATGGAAACAAAGTCTTTGTAAATAGGGAGGGATGGAGAGGTTGAAGCATGGGCAGGGAAATGGGGAAAAAATAAGAACCAAGAGATTATGTAAATGTGCAAATTTCCAATGATGAATGTACCTGTATTGTATACCTAAAATGTACCAATAAAATAAAAAAATCCTTCTGCCTCATATTCTCTTTTTCGTTTGGACTCCAGTTATACCTATGCCTGATTTATTTATTGTGCACATATCTTTTAAGCTCTGGTCTCTTCTCCCCATTGTTTTTCCTGTGTTTCAGTTAGGGTATTTTTTTTAACCTATCCCCAAATTTCTTAATCTTTTCTTTTGCTATGTCCAGTTTGTTGTTAAACTCATCCATCAAGTTCTTTATTTTAGACATTTTTCAAGATTTTTCTTTTCATTCTTTTTTATGGATTTCTATTCTGTTAAAATTCTGCATCTTTTAGTCCATTTTTTCACTTTTTCTTCTATTTTAATCATTATTTTGAAGTTCTTATCTAGACTCCAACATCTAGCTTATCTGCCGGTCTACTATTATCTATATTTTTATCTTCATTATTGGTCAACTTTTTCTGCCCTTCTCATCATATACAAAATTTAAAAATAAAAATCTATATGCAATATAGATTGTGGTATTTTGTTTTTAGAAATGAAAATAGGGTGATAGTTTGATTACCTCAGGCCAATCTGAGCCGGGATTAAATTGGAGTTTTACTAAAACTCAGTCCACATCTGGTTTTTCTCTGTTCTTCATGTGTCATTCTCTGAGCTTTCAACTGAAAGCCAGGAAGATGTCTGCCTTTTCTGCCTTGAAGATTCAGTTCTACCTTTAAGAGGTTTTAAACTTAGATCTTTACTCTCCTGTTCATACAGCTTTAGAAACAACTGCAAAATGTCTTGAGTGGAAACAAGTGCCTGTATATCTGGGGCAGGCTCCTCCTTTTACATGCACTGGTAGAGGGCAGGGTGATTTGATCCTACCTATTAGGCCCAGTCCCTCAACCTTCTGCATCAGCCTGGGACTCCGCAAAAAACCAAAAGTGGACTGAGTTTTACTAAAACTGCAACTCTAGGAGGTGAGACTTTGTTAGGGAGAAGTTTTCAGCCCATGTCTTTAAAACTGGACCTCAACTGGGGTTGGCCTAAGATGGATAAACTACATTTTTAAAAAAACTATTATTGAGCTGCCATTATGAATGCTACAAGCTGCCTATTTATGGCATTATTACTGTACATCGTAATTCAAACTTAGTATGTTTTTCGTCTTAGTTCAAATTCTTTTTCTGTTTCCCTCTACTTCAAAAAGAGACCCTAGACTACTCATTGGATTTGTTCCCTTTAGGCACTGGTTCAATTCCTCCTATCTTTGCTGATGAAATAAGTGAAATGTAAGGAAGAGGAGCCGTCATAAATGAGGCTTCAAGTATCTTTCCAGGGATCAGTATCCGGGAGAGGGCAAGAGGGTAGCTATTTCGAGGGAAACCTTTAACGTGGGATGCTCTCTACATACTCGTTTTGTCCGTGCCCACATCCCAACCTGGATCAGCACACGTACAGCTGCTCCGGGAGCGCTGGCTACTAAAACCCTGTTCCCGAGGCCCGGCTCTGGGGCGCCCTGCGTCCCTACTTCCGGCCCCGCCCCCCTCCTGGCAGTTGCTAGGAGACGTGATGTCACCGGAAGCGAGGCCTGCGATAGGCTGAGGTAGGGGAAGCCTCTCCCCCTCGGCAGCCGGGCGCCGGCGCTGGCTCTCCAGCTGTTTGTAGGCCCCGGGTGAGGGTCCGAGGAAAGCAGAGCAGTCGCGGCACCTCCCGCGCACCCCGGTCGGCCGCCCGGTCCCGCCCGCCCCGCTGTCCCGTCAGCCCCCGGCGTCCCGGCCGGCGCCTCCCAGGCTGCTGCGGGCGCTCTGACTGACAGGCACAGCCCTCGCAGCTGGCGACGTCCGCCACGTCCCCGGGCTCGGCCGCCGACCCCGCGCGGCGGTGACCTTTCCGAGCCCCTGGCGATGCGGGCTCCTCGGAGCCGCCGGCCCCGACTCGCGCCGCTCTCGCCGCTGCTGTGGCTCCTGCTGCTGGCGGCCTTGGGGCCGGCGCGCGGCTGGGAGAGCGGAGACCTGGAGTTGTTCGACTTGGTGGAGGAGGTGCAGCTCAACTTCTACCACTTCCTCGGGCTGCAGCAGGTACGCGCGGTCGCTCGGCGGGGGCGCGGCGGGCTCTGCCGAGGGCGAGCGGGCCCTAGGTCGGGCTCCCTCCCCGCCCGCCCGCTCCGACGTCCCGAGTTGGAGGGAGTCTCGGGGACTGGTTGGCCGGGGGCGCTAGTCGGGGCGGTGGCGATCCCTTCTCTGCGCGTGGCTGCGGGGGGAGGCAGCCCCCGGCTGTGCTGCAGAAGAAGCAAGAGTGGTTGGTGTGTCCCTTTTTTCTACACCCACCTTCGCCTTTCCCGCCTCCCCGGCTGTGAGAAAGAGTAGCCGTGTGGCATTCTCAGTTGTCATCTTCACACTTAGACCGATTTCATCTGCCTCCCTGCCGCCTCCTTTCCCGGAAGCGAGGAATGCATTTTGGCTAGTGTCTGCGGCGGAAACTACTCTCCCCACTTTTTGTAATCTTTTTTGAGCCTGTTAAATGGGAGTTCGTTTCGCATAGAGAAAGCTGGAGGACTCTGAAGCCTGTACAGAGTTAGTCCTGGAACTGGGGAGAAGCTATTAGGATGTCAGGGCAGGGCAGCTACTTCGGATGTTGCTGGACGAGAAGCCCAACCAAGAGTGCAGGATGGATTTCTTTCCTTGCTTTGCTTTTCGTGTTCTTTTTCCTTTTTCAACTTGAGACTTTGGTCTGTATAAGCGTTTATTACCTTCGTGTGTGTGTGTGTATGTGTGTGTGTGTGTGTGTGTGTGTGTACACGTGTGTGCCCTCAAGGCTATGGCATTTGCCCAGTTGCTACCTGAACCCTAGTGTCAAGGAGAAGATGACACTTTTCTGCTTTCGGGATTATGGAGTGAACGACTTACACTTTCACACGATCTGATTGAGCCCCTCAGACAATACTTTGAGTAACTACAAAGGCAAAAAAAAAATTAAAGTTTGCCTACAGTTGTCACTCAATCCAGACTTCATGTGACTATGACATCTATACTGGTTATTTTAAATTTGAGAACTATTGAACTTTTAAATTTTATTTTCAACTATCCCATTTTCATTCCATTATTGAATATAAATTTGTTAGGGTGTCATGACATCATAGTTTAAGAGTCTTCATTTTAGTAAAAAAATCTGTCTCCCACTTCAAATGCTTATAGGAAAAGAATTTTGTAATGACTGTACCTAAGGTCACCAGGTACCATTTCCTGCTCATAAAGACAAAACATAACATACCTCTTTTTTTTCCTTTGGTACCAGGGATCGAACTCAGGACCTTGCGCTTTTGAGGCAGGCAGTGGAACCACTGAGCTAAATTCCCAACCCTAACATACCTCATTTTAAAAGTAAATAGTGATGCAATATGTGTACCAGTAGTGAAGCTATGTTTGAACTAACTTTGGAGAACGCCTTTAATAACGAGAATAGTCTATCAGGACTGATTAAAATTTATAGTTAGGGAGAGTCTTATACATAACAAATCCAAAAATCTTCAAGATACGGTCCTTTAAGAGAATATAGATATTTAACAGTGATGATTTAGAATTGAGATTATGTATGGGCCAGGGATTTAGCTCAGTGGTGCCGACACCTGACTCACAAACACAAGGTCCTGAGTTTGATCCCCGGTACCAAAAAAAAAAGTTCATTGTAAAATTTAGATTATGTCATCTAGGTTTGCATGTGCACTTCCATAGAATTTTCCTTTATAATTTCATGCAGCTTACTTTGCAGTTAATTAGGCAGTGTGAACAACCAGAGCACTTAACTGTATGCTCAAAGATGGGAAAATAAAGAAGCATAGATAATTGAGAAGATTCTTTGTTGAGGGAAAATTGGAAAAGAATCCAGAAAATTATTTTAATCTGTGTTTCTCTGCCCAGCTGTGTTGAACTAGCCAGAAGAAACTTTATTCTGTCTAAGCAGAGAAATGGATTGGAACAAGTTCTTTACTTTGAACCTCAACTTTCTTGGAAAACTTTCAAGGATCCAGACATTTGGTAGAGACAAACGCAGCTTGTTTAAGGTCCTTAATGTGTAATTTTCAAGTGAGAGCCGATATTCAAGAACAGAACAAAGTAGATAGGCTACTCATAGTGATGCCCTGGCTCTATGCTCTGATCAGTTTTATTGTTCATTCAACAGAGATTTATTTGGTGTGTACTGGATTTTAATCACTTAGAGTTGGCCTTTATATAAAACAAAGCCTATAGCCCCATGAAACAGTTTAGTAGGGGAAAACACATAGTAAAAACTACATAGGTAAATGTAAGTATTAGATGTTCAGAGAAGGCCTCTGAAGGAAGTTAGAGAATAAGCCATATGCATACTTGGTGTGTCTTATTCAATTTGAGTTGCTATAACAAAATACCATAAACTAGATAGTTCTTTCTTTTCTTTCCTTTTCTTTCTTTCTTTCTTTCCTTCCTTCCTTCCTTTCTTTCTTTTTCTTTCCCTCTCTCTTTCTTTCTTCCTTTCTTTCTCTCTCTCCCTCTCTCTCTCTTTCTTCCTTCTTTCCTCCCTCCCTCCCTCCTTTCTTTCTTCCTTTCTTCCTTCCTTCCTTCCTTTCTTTCTTTCCTTCCCCAGTACTGGAAATCAAACTCAGGACCTTGTACTTGCCAGGCCGGCGCAGCACGACCACCGAGCTAAATCCCCCGCCCTAGATAGCTTTTCAACAATGAAAATTTATTTCTCACGGTCCTGGAGGCTAGGAAGTCCAACAACAAGGGCTAGCAGCTTCTGTATTTGACGAAGGCCTTCTGATTTATAGGTGATACCTTCTAGCTATACCCTCTCATCAGCAAGGGTCAAAGCAGCTCTCTGGGGCTTCTTTTACAGGGGCACTACTAGGGCTCTACCTTATGACCTAATCACCCTCAGATACCCCACCTTGGGGCACATTGGGGATTAGGTCTGAACAGGAGTTTTGGAGGAACTCAGATATTCAGATCATAGCATGGTGGAGGAAATTTAAGGAAGAACGAAGTAAGTGCAAAGGCCTTGAGGCAGAAACTTGCTTAGTGTTTGAGAAATAGCAAGGCAACCAGTGTGGCTGGAGCAGAGTGATTGAGGAAGACGGTAATAGATGAGCTTGGAGTCACAGGCAATAGAGGACGATCACATAAGGCATTGCAGGTCATTATAAGGATTTTGGCTTTTTCTTAGAAGTAAGTTAGGAAACCAGTAGAGAGGGGGCTGTTGAAGAGAAGATATACTTCATTTGACTTAAATTTCAAAATGATAGCTTTATTGTGTTAGGGATAGTCTATAAAGTATGAGTTACTTAGAAGAATAATTGTAGTGTAGAATATAGAATAGACTTGAGTGGTCACATTGGAGGTGGTACAAAGCGGTCAGATTCTAGATTTAATGGGAACATAGAACTGACAGGATTTTACTGATGGTTTGAATGTGGGATATAAGAGAAAAAGAGAAATTGAAGAGAACGCTAAAGTATTGTCTAAAATACTTCAATACCTAGCAGGATGCAGCTGTCATTTTTTGAGTTGAGGAAGCCTGGAATAGAAGTCTGGTTGAGAGAATCAAGAGTTTGGGAAAGCACTACATTGTCCGTGTCTGTTAAGCTTTCAAATGGAGCTGGCTCCTCTCCCTCGGCCACCACTGCCGCCCCCTGCTGCTCCTGGAGCTGCTTCTGTGCTCCTCAGGTGTGGACCTGGTACCTCTTTTGTGAAGCAGCAGCTGAGAAGACTCAGGCACTCGCAATGGCCGACGAAAAGCCCAAGGAAGGCGTCAAGACAGAACAATGATCATATTAATTTGAAGGTTGCAGGGCAGGGTGGTTCTGTGGTGCAGTTTAAGATTAACAGGCTTACACCACTTAGTAAACTAATGAAAGCCTACTGTGAACGATAGGGTTTGTCAAGGAGGCAGATCAGATTCGGATTTGATGGACAGCCAATCAATGAAACAGACACACCTGCACAGTTGGAAATGGATGACAAAGATACAATTGATGTGTTCCAGCAGCAGACAGGAGGTGTCTACTAAAAAGGGAACCTGCAAGAACTCTACTCCAGAACTCTGTTCTTACAGACCGAGAATACATTCTCAATTAGAGAACTGCAACTTGGTTCCACCACATCTTGACTACTGCAGTATAGTTTTCTCTATTCTTTCATTTACCCCTTCCCCATTCCTTTATTGTACATAAAGTATCTGGTGTATGTGCACAAGCATATTGCCTTTTTTTTTTTTTAACTAAATGGCCAACAATATGTTTTGATTGACATCAGATGGAGACGGGATGGGGAGATACTGGTTCTGTGAAAATAATTCCCTCTCTCCATTAGTGGCATGCTCATCAGCTCTTATCTTTATGTTCCAGCAAGTTATTTTGCTCTCACTTTTAACAGAAAAGACAACAACATAAAAATCCTTGCATACCTTGTTTGATTGGAGAATTGTAATGTTTTTCATTTATCATTGTAAAACTAAGAACAATTTTATAACTTTTTTGTACGTAGCTGTTTTTTTTTTTTCGGTACCGGGGATAGAACTTGGGTCCTTGCGCTTGCAAGGCAGGCGGCGAAACCACTGAGCTAAATTCCCGGCCCCTGTATGTAGCTGTTACATGTAGGGCAATCTGTCTTTATGTGGGAGTCAATTACTCTTTAAAAGAAAAAGAATCCTAGATGGTTTTGCCTTTAAGTCAGGTGTCTTGTTGTTTAAATAAACTTCTTGTTTAAAATGAAAAAAAAAAAAACCAACCAAATGGAGCTGGCATATAGACATTTGGTTATTCAGGTCTGGAGTCCAGACAGAAAAGTGTTGCCATAAATATGGAGTCTAGAGTCCCTGGGACCAAGAAGGTAATTTGAAGCCACATAATTGGATGAGTTCACTCAAGAAAATGAGTGTAAGAGAAGAGATTTGAGAGCTAAGCCTTGGGAATGTGAACCCTAACAGGGAGATGAAGAAGCCAAAGGAAATGGGAAGAAACAATCAGTGAAGGAGGAGGCAAACCAAGAAAAGGTACTGCTTTCAAGTCGAGCAGAGAAAGTTCTTCAAAGCAGAGAAAGTGGTC